CCTGATTCTTACATAGGTTGTTGATTTTTCTCATCCATCCAGTTTATGAACTATATGACCCTTATTCTTAATTCTTTTTCTGACATATTACATACCTCCATTTCATTTAGTTCTTTTTCTGGTGGTTCCTCCTTTTCTTTCCTTTGGGAGTTGTTTGTCTGTCTCCCCATTTTTGTTCTCACCAAAGGATCTAGGTGTCAAGTTGCATGGGGCCTGTGGCTGCAGTGGTGGGCTTGTTGGTGGGTCACAAGGTCGTGAGCAGCAGCTGCTCCTTGGGCAGTCATGGGACAGCCGCTCCTTGTGTGGTAGCGGAGCAGCGGGTGCTCGTGGGGCAGCCGCTCCTTGCGTGGTCGTAGGGCAGCTGCTCCCAGTGTGGTCACAGGCAGCTGCTGCTCCTCATGCTGTTGCAGATGGTGGCTGCTCCTCGGTCAGTCACAGGCTGCAGCTTCTCGTGGGGCAGCTGCTCCTCGGGCAGTCACAGGTGGTGGCTGCTCCTCATGCAGCAGCAGGGCTGCTTCTCCTCATGTGGCCGCTGGGTGGCTGCTCCTCACATGGTCTCGGGGCAGCTGTTCCTCATGCAGTCGCAGGTGGTGGCTGCTCCTGGGGGAGTTGCAGTACAGCTGCTCCTGTGTGGTTGCGGGCGGTGATGGCTCCTCCAGCAGTCACGGGTGGCGGCTGCTCACATGGCTGCTGGAGTGGTTGTGGTGCCGGGGGGTGCTGGGTAGTGCTCGGCTGTTTGCAATTGCAAAGCCCAGGGCTGCTGCGTAGGACTCAGCTGTTCGCATGCATGGTCGTGATGCCCGGGGCTAAAGCGTTTGGGTTGTGGGAGGGGAACGCCCTCTGGAATTCACAGGAGCCTGTGGCCAGGGAGGCTGGAGTCCCAGTGTCTGTGGGTCGGCAGCTGAAGCAGCAGGTCCCTGGCCGGAGTGGCTGTAGTATCTGGTGTGGTGTCTGAGAGCACCCTGGGTGGAAGTGAGGCTGGGCTCCCAGTCACAGCAGCTCTCCCCTTCAAGATGGTGCAGCCTCTTCAGCAGAGTTGGTGCTCCAGGAAAGATTACAGCCATAGCAGAGGCTGCCCAGCTACGCGAGTCTATTCCGCTAGCCCCCGAAGGTCCTGCGAGATCTAGCTTCCCCTCACTACACACACACACACACACACACACCACATCCACACACTGCCCTTTCATTCCCTCACTCACTCACACTCTCTTCCTCACTGCCGTCCTGTCGGCCACCATCTTGGAATCCCTCGTATATCAAAATTTATACCACATTAATTAAAGATTTAAATTTTAAAAATTCAATCATAAAACAACTAGAAATATATAAATAGTTACCTATATAATACTGGTGTACCCATATTAAAATGATGTAGAAATGTAGCTATTGACATAGAAAAAAAGTTTATCAAACAACATTTTTATCCCATTTTTTTAAAAAAATACATATTTATATGCATAGAAAGTTTTGAGATGTGCATAAAAATGTTAATAGTGGCTTTTGTGGATAGTGTAATAAACTATTTTCCCTTCTTGCTCCCCTTTTTATGTATCTATGTATGCATGCAATTATATATGTGTAATAAGTGGGTTTTTTTCTTCCACTATCCTTAAGTCTTCTCTTTAGTATATTCCTATCCAACTGTAAGTTCTTTAAGGATTGAGTTGTGTTTCATTACTTACTGGGCTACCTACCATGGGTATGCCTGGTTAAGGACTGGGTGCTTGATGATCTGATTTCCTCAAAGACTGCTTTGAAGTCTGATGTAACAGTGCTAACTAAACCTTTAACCAGCTGAAATGGTCAGCAACTTGCCACTATAGCCACACCTTGTCTCTGGGGGCAATATGGCTACAATGGCTGTCATCCCAGTGCTTTCCCAGGTTGAGGTGGCTGACTGGCTGGCTCGTAGATGGCTGATTAGGCTGCGCCTTTCTGTGTAAATCCTTCCCAAATAGCGTTCTTGTTCAAGGAGGTGGCCTTTCTCAGGTTTGATTGCTGTCTCTTGGTCAATAGCATCTTTCTCATCAGAATCTCCATGCACATTCTCAGGAATTCTCAATACTGTTAAAAGCATAAAGGATGGGCAGCAGAGAAAGAATACAAAGGACTGGAAGATGAGAAAAGGAGAAAAATGAGAATAAAGCCCTAACCGGTTTGGCTCAGTGGATAGAGCGTCGGCCTGCGGACTGAATGGTCCCAGGTTCGATTCCTGTCAAGGGCATGTACCTTGGTTGCGGGCACATCCCCAGTAGGGAGTGTGCAGGAGGCAGCTGATGGATGTTTCTCTCTCATCTATGTTTCTAAGTCTCTATCCCTCTCCCTTCCTCTCTGTAAAAAAATCAATAAAATATATATTTTTTTTAAAAAGTGAGAATATAATTATGAATATTTATTACCTTAAGTGTAGCTGGTAACTAAACTCAACCTAAAACACCCCTTGCACATAGTAATACCTACCATTACACATGAAATTGGTTTGACAGGGAAGTCTACACAGACATTGGTTTCCAAGGGACCTGTGCAAGCTCTGATGGCCACACTTGGCAGCCCTCCAGGTTAGATACTTTAGTGACTTCTGATCTAGCCTGCTCAAATACAGCCTCTGATAGAGCTTGCTCTTAGAGGTAAAGATCATTCCAGGCTTGTTGCTGGATAAAATGAGATGATATATGGAAATATGTTTTGTAAATATCTATATATATAAAAGGCTAATATGCTAAGTGTCCAACTGTCCGACAGATCGCTATGATGTGCACTGACCACCAGGGGGCAGACACTCAACACAGGAGCTGCCAAGCTGCAGTGACTTGGCAGCAGCAGTTCTCAGGTGATGCACCCTGAAACCAGAGAGGAGGGAGCCTGACTCCTTGTGGGGCCATGCAATTCCACCTTCAGCTGTGGGTTATGTTGTTACTGGGGCACTATCGGTCCTGAATCTGGTTTACTGCACACTTGTGTTTGTGTTCCACACCCTGTACGACAGCAACGTTGCAGAGTGCCCTCTCACACTCCAGGACCCCTCAGGGGATGTCGGAAAGCTGGTTTCGGCCCAGTCCCCACAAACCAGGCCGAGGAACCCCACCTGCCAGAGTGACCCCACTCAGTCCACAGATGCCCTTTGAGCCACAGAGCCATCCCAGGTGCGGCCAGCCAGGAAGGAACTGCAAAATGTTGGCTCCAGAGCGTGTGTCCAGCCTGTCTCACCCAGTCCTGCCCCACTGGCCACCATCTAATTAATTTCCTTTCAATATGCATGAATCTGTGCACCGGGTCACTAGTGTTTTATAAAACAACTATAGGCCCAGTGCACAAATTCGTGCACCTTGAAAGGAACTGTGGGCCGCAAGACTGCGGTGGGCACAGGGTTAGGTCTCAGCCCATCCTCCGTGCCCCGGTCCGGCCCCTCCTGCCACAACCCCCGGTCCCCTGTCTGCCGGCAGCCTGGCTCCCGCTGCTGCTGCTGCTCCCATGCACTGATGGCGCCAGCCCAGTTCACACCCACTGAAGGCACAGAGAGATTGGGGCCAGTGCCTGCAGCGGATGCAAGCAGCAGCTTTGGTGCTGGTAGCAGGTGCGAGCGGAGCTGTCGCCAGCAGCGGGTGTGAGTGGTGACTGCCGGCCCCGATCGCCCCTCAGGGGGAGGTGGAGAAGCCCTGAGGGGTGATTGGGGCCAGCAGCTGCCGCTTGTACCCATTGATGGCGCTGAGTGATCCTCACACCAGCCTGGGTGTGAGTGGCAGCACTGGCAGCAGGTGCGAGTGCCCGGCTGGACCGCAGTGCATGGGAGCAAAGAATTTTCAGTAACCACCAGAGGCTCGCCCCGGTGATAGCGACCAGTGCCCCGCCTTGGTCTGGTGCCCCTACTCAGTTGCTCCACCATCCCGCTGCGGCTGATGCCTACCATGTTCCATGCTCTGGCGCCTGCTGCCGACTCCTGCCATGTTCCACGCGCAACCCCTGGTGGTCAGTACACATCATAGCGACTAGTTGTTCAGTTGTTCAGTAGTTCAGTTGTTCCACCATTCGGTCTATTTGCATCTTAGGGTTTTATATATATAGTAGTAGATATACAAATGCTTGGTGTTCTTTTTGTAAGCTCCATGGTTTAATGTTGTCCAATAGTGTCCTCATGGAAGTTTTGAACAGATTTTAAATAACTGTATCTAAAGAAAACAAAAAATAAAAAATGAAAGAAGGAAAAGAACATCAAATACATCTAAGGAGTGAAGATAATTGCATCCCCAGGAGGGAAAAACATGTCTGGGAGGCACCTATACTGTGTATGTCTGAGTAGTGATTGTCACCTAACACTATGAGAAAGACGGGGGTTTTTTGAGTGCCCTCAATTATTAGAATTATTTTCTTTGGAAGTAATTTCCAAAAAAATGCTTGTGATTTCATTTTCAATAAAACTGTTGACACTTCCTTAAATTGTCTGTTAACTTATGGTAAATTACAGTAAGAGTTCATGTGGCCCCCACATGTACTGTGGTCGCACTGTTTTAATTACTAACTAAATTATGATAAGGAAGTGACTAAAATGTTAACTACCATTGCTCTGCTCCTTCCATGAAAATGACCCTTTTTTCCTTCCAGATTCAGCACTTCATATCAGCTCCTAACCTAAATGCATGACTTTCAGTCTCAGGACTTGCAGAATTATTGGAATGCCGTCCTAAGGTTATGGAGTTCTGCGTTTCTGGGCATTTCAGCTCTATGGAGAAGCAGCCATTCCCTCACTCCAAAGGCAGCCTGAACAATTTTTTTCTCCCTAGGAAAGAAGCTCCCTTGTACCTTTCTTGTTACAACAGTAGCAAAACAATCACAAACAGACTGGGGAAGATTGACAGTTGGGAGATCCTTGTCAATTACCTGACCTTGGCATGGGGTTTCCTCACATTTGCAGTGTCTTGGGGTCCCTCCTATGACTGTCTTGGAGAATAAACATTTTCTGTTAATTTCCAGTGATTTAATTTTCCATTTTCTTTTTGTAACAGGTCCAGTTAAAAACAAGAAAAAGGGTAAGTTCCTGATTTTATTAAATTGCTGCCATGTCATGTCTTTTCTAAAATTAGAAGAAAAAGAATCCGGGGAGTGGGATTTTTATAGTCTGGTTGTCTATTATTTTATTCAATCACATGGGATCTTCTTGAGTGTTGTAGCTTCCAATGAACAACAACAACAACAACAAAAATAGATATTGTTTCTCAGTGATGATCCACAAAAGATAGAATTGCTTCTCTGGCAACATATGAATGTTGATTTTGCTTTTCTTTCTTGCTCCTTCTTTCATATGATTCAGTTTCTCTTTCCTTTATTCTTACTTGCTCCTTTCCCCTGCCCTTCTTCTTTTCATTTCTCCCCCTCCTTTATCAAGTTGGTGATCAGATATGAATGAAATCCTGAGACAGCCTGTAGGGAGTAGGTATATATATTACCTCCTGAGGGATGTCAGTACCCTATTTCTTGGCCTCAAAGTTATCCCTGTTGTATATTTCAGATAGTCAGGGAAGGTATTTCTAGCTTTGGGGTTTCAATATCATTTTCTCTGTAATGGAAAAATTAAGCTGGAGTAATACCCTGATCTTTTGGTCTTTTCAAAGAAGCTCTAGTTGAGCAGATCCATTGTGCCATTGTTGGGTCAGTAAGTCTGTGGTGTGCTTGCCATGGGACTAGCCCAAGTGCTTGCTTACTTAAGGAGAACCCAATGACAGAACAGGTTCCAAAATATTGTACAGGATCAGGTAATATGGTTCACTCCTTAGGACTAAAGAACCTATTGCAAAACCAGTTCTAAATATCTATTTGTTTATGTGTTCTGACCTAGGAGGAAAATAGAGTGAAATTAATCACTTTTCATTAAAATGTTTTAAGTGAAATGATTCTGTCTGTTAAGATTTCTGGAGCTTTATAGAGTACATTATCATCCCCAGACTAGCCACAAAGACTGACTTCAGCTGCCATTTCTCTGAGTGCGAGGGTGCTCTGGTGGTTGAGGTGCAGTGGCCACATGGAAAACCTATGTCCCTGCTGTAAGGAAGCCTGGCCTCCTGTGGACCTGAGCTGAACAAAGCTGGAAAACAGTCAGAGAGCTGGAGCTAGTGAGAAAACCTTTTTCTGCGGAGCCTGGGCATCCACCAAGATTATTTGTCTTTTAAGAAAGTAAATTTGACTTTCAAACATTTAGTTTTTAATACTTGTCATATTCCTTTAAGACAGACATTATAACAAACCCAGAATGCTCACCTGGCTTGAAGAAGGACACCCTGTGCTCCTAACACAAGCCTGGGGATGACTTGCCTTTTTAATAAGTAGACTTGAGAGCACTTTCTAATCACAGCTACTAGTATTTTTTTTCTACTTCCTTGTTCACTAGACAGTGAATAAGCATCTTATGTGTGTCAGGAGTAGAGATACAGAGATGAAGAAAATGGTTCCTTCCCTCAAAAATCTCCCAGTGCAGTTGGAACCATGGAAGTACACACAAATAATTACTGTCTAGTCTAAAAAATGATGTCATCGGAGCATGAACAGCATGCTGTGGGAGCACAAAGAAGGAGCAAGTAGTTCTCATTGGGAGAGTGAGGGACCAAACTCAGAGAAAACAGTATTTGACCTGGACTTGAAGCATGAGGGGGAAAAAAGAGGGGGAATGATATTCCATCAAAGGAAATAGCATACTCAGATCTCTCAGAAACTTGAAAGAACATGGCATGTTTGGGGAGCAGCAAGTAGGCTAGTGATTTCCCAGAAAGCAGCTCCCAGTCTCAGTGTTATCCGATGGGTGAGCCCTGGAAATGGCAATAGAAGACAGCTGTCTAGGCCAGAAGCTCTGGAATTACATTCAGATTTCAATGCCTCTGCCAAGGACTTGGGTCACTGCCTCACACTGCTACCTGTGTATGGGCCATTACTGGGAGGAGATGCATAGAGGACTTAAACATCTACTTTGGCTGAAAGTGATTTAGAAGCCATTTAATACAGATTTCTATGGACACAGTGAATAGGCACATGCCTGAAGAGTTAAGTTAAATTGAGTTATTTAATTTTCATTCTTCAGTGGAATTTCTTTCTCTCTCTCTCTCTCTCTCTCTCTCTCTCTCTCTCTCTCACACACACACACACACACACACACACAACACACACACACATTTTCACTCACTTTTATGTTCTTTCAACAACTTGGACTTTGCTAATAGGTTAGCAAAATACCCTTTTGTAAGGTTATATTTGAAAAGAATGTATACTTTCATCTAAGACTACAAAGGGTAACTTTCTAAGTATAAAAGTCTCTGGGCTTTTGTATCATGAAGTGCTCTGTTAAAATAAGGAAATCCGGAGAACAAATTCAATCCTCTAAAGCAGCGGTTCTCAACCTGTGGGTCGCGACCCCTTCGGGGGACGAACAACCCTTTCACAGGGGTCGCCTAAGACCATCGGAAAACACATATATAATTACATATTGTTTTTGTGATTAATGACTATGCTTTAATTATGTTCAATTTGTAACAATGAAATTGGGGGTCACCACAACATGAGGAACTATATTAAAGGGTCGCGGCATTGGGAAGGTTGAGAACCACTGCTCTAAAGCCATCTTCTTGGTCCGAGTGGTCATGGTCCTCTCTGGGCCTGCTTTCTGCGAGTATGCAAGCACAAGAAGCACACTTGCCTAAAACTGGGTGCTGAGGAGCAAAGGGGACCAGCTGCAGAACTAGATCACAGCAAGAGGTTTTCCCTAAATGCCTTCTAACATTTTCATAAGTGAACATTCTCTGTTTACACTGCAACCATTTTTCTCTTTGACTGGAGGAGTTTCTGACTGTAATTCTTCCAAAATTACATTATCAATCACAAGAGACTCACAGTATTGACACTAAAGTTGTACTACCCACAGAACACCCTCTAGCTTGAAAAATTACTGTGAGGCCTGCAAATTCTGGAACATAGCACAGCCTAATGTGCACCGTCCTCTGTGTCCACGCAGCCCAGAGAACAGTGAGGGAGAAGCAACCCTTACAACCAGGCTAGGGAAGTTTCCTGACTGCCAGTGGGAAGTCAGTGCTCCTTAAGGAACCTCAGTCTTGGGAGGAAACTTAGAGAAGTCACTGATGGAGAAACTAAGGTTCCAGGAGAGGAAGGGATTTGCCCAAAATGTGTCCATGGCAGATTTTGGAGCTTATGGCTTTATCTCCTGACTACAGATCTCATGTTATTTCCACTACACTAGCTGGGATTGAAACTTGGGCACTGAATGAGACTTACTTGGAAGCTACCCAAATCTGAAGGAAGATGGCTTTCCTGTTCAGCATCTTGAAATTGGTTAGATCTAGAAACTGGGAAGATCCAATCTTTTGCTGCTAAGTACAGTGAAAATGCTGAAGCTCCTACCTCTAGGTCTTTATGGTAACAGGGGCTTTCCTGCGAGAGAGGCTCTCAGGACCTTCCTTTCCTCTTGGACAAAGGGCCCCACAATGACGCCATTGTTTCATCCCAAATGCAGGTGTGCTTAGACATGGACAACTGGCCTTTTGAGCATGTTGCCATGGGGATTGGGTTTCTTGAACATGTAGCATTGTTCTTAAAGGAGGACATGATAAATCAGACAAGATTTTTCTGCTTACGAGGCTGCAGAGCAGGGAATTGGGGAGCAGTAAGGAGGTATTTGAGACTTGAGAAGGTTGTATTTAAAACTAAGAAAGTACCACTGGTGAAGACATTGTGGTGGGTCTGATAAAAGGCTTCCATTCCTGGGACTTCCACCAAACTGTGAGAAAGTGGGGAAGGGAGGAAGGAGACAGCCACCTGTGACCACCTACAGTGCTTGAATTGGGCTGCACAGAGCAGAGGAACCAAGCAGGATGAGCTGCAGGTTTGACTTCAAGACTGCAGTTAGCCCTCACTGAACATAACTACGTACTGTTGGTATTGTCAGGGGGACTGGAACTTGGAATAGGAGGATCAAGACTGTTCTGAAAAGATAGTGAGGACAAAAAGGGGAGGAGTTGGTGGGCTTGATTAATAATACATTCAAGAATAGGAGAATAAGGCCTCTGAGGAAAGACTGGGAAGCTGGATTATTTAGCCTATAAAATGGAGGTTGATAGGTGACAATGTCTTTGAGAATACAAGGGTTATTATATGTATGATGGTAACTATTCTTTTCTATCTACACAAAGACCTTAAACTGTTGCAGAAGGGATTTCAGTTAAATATACAGAAAAACTCGAAGTAACATACGCATAATAGGGCTGCAAGAAGGACAAGAAGAGCAGCAAGGATTAGAAAATCTATTTGAAGAAATAATGACAGAAAACTTCCCAGATATGGGGAAGAAAAAAGTTACACAAGTACAGAGAGTCCCAGGCAAGATGAACCCCAAAAGACCCACACCAAGACACGTCATAATAACGATGGCAAATGTACAAGACAAAGAGAGAATCTTAAAGGCTGCAAGAGAGAAACAGAGAGTTACCTACAAAGGATCCCCCATCAGATTATCAAACGATTTCTCAACAGAAACACATCAGGCCAGAAAAGAATGGACAGAAATTTACAAAGTGATGCAAAACAAAGGACTGAATCCAAGAATACTCTATCCAGCAAGGCTATCATTCAAAATTGAAGGGGAAATAAGAAGCTTCACAGACAAAAAAAGGCTAAGGGAGTTCATCACCACCAAGCCAGCAATGCAAGAAATGCTAAAGGGACTGGTGTAAAAAGAAGAAATAAAAAGCCCAGAAAGAAAACAGCCACACAAAAAAAGAAATGGCTACAAACAAGTACCTTTCAATAATAACTTTAAACGTAAATGGACTAAATGGTCCAATCAAAAGACATCGAGTGGCTGAATGGATAAAAAAACATGACCCATACATTTGCTGTCTACAAGAGACCCACCTCATTAAAAGGGACTCACACAGACTGAAAGTGAAGGGATGGAAAAATATCTTTCAGGCAAATGGAAATGAAAAAAAAGCTGGGGTAGCAATACTTATATCCGACAAAATAGACCTCAAAGTGAAGGCCATAACAAGAGATAAGGAAGGCCACTTCATAATACTAAAGGGATCAATACAACAAGAGGATATAACCCTGATAAACATATATGCACCCAATGCAGGAGCACCCACATACATAAGAAAACTCCTGGAAGACATCAGGGGAGAGATCGACAACAATACAATCATAGTAGGGGACTTTAATACACCACTGACATCACTGGATAAATCTGCTAGACAAAAAATCAGCAAAGAAACAGCAATCCTAAATGACTCACTAGATCAGATGGACTTAATTGACATCTTCAGAACACTTCACCCCAAAGCAACAAAATATACGTTCTTCTCAAGTGCTCATGGGACATCTTCAAAAATAGACCACATATTGGGTCACAAACAAAGTCTCCCCAAATTCAAGAAGATTGAAATCATACCAAGCATCTTCTCAGACCACAAGGGCATAATATTAGAAATAAACTACAATAAAAACAACCCAAAATACTCAAACACTTGGAAGCTGAATAGCATGTTATTAAATATTGATTGGGTTACCAATGAGATCAAAGAAGAAATTAAAAACATCCTGGAAACTAATGACAATGAAAACACAACAATCCAAAACCTTTGGGACACAATGAAAGCAGTCCTGAGAGGGAAGTTTATAGCTCTACAGGCCTACCTCAACAAACAAGAAAAAATGGTAGTAAATCATCTAAATCTACAGCTCAAAGAATTAGAAAGAGAGCAACAAGAAAAGCCCAGAGTGAGCAGAAGGAAGGAGATAATAAAGATTAGAGCAGAAATAAATGACATAGAGACCAAAAAAACAATACAGAAAATCAATGAAACCAAGAGCTGGTTCTTTGAAAGGATAAACAAGATCGACAAACCTCTAGCCAGGCTCACCAAAAAGCAAAGAGAGAGGACCCAAATAAACCAAATCAGAAATGATAGAGGCGAAATAACAACAGACCCCACAGAAATACAAATGATTGTTAAAAAATACTATGAACAACTCTACTCCAACAAACTAGACAACCTGGAGGAAATGGACATATTTCTAGAAAAATACAACATTCCAAAACTTAATCAGGAAGAATCTAAAAATCTCAACAGGCCAATAACTATGGAAGAAATTGAAGCAGTCATCAGAAAGCTTCCAGCAAACAAAAGCCCAGGACCAGACGGCTTCACAGGGGAGTTTTACCAAACATTCAAGGAAGAACTAAAACCTATCCTCCTCAGACTACTACAAAAAATCCAAGAGGAAGGAACACTTCCAAGCTCATTCTATGAAGCCAGCATCACCCTAATACCAAAACCAGGTAAAGACAACACAATGAAAGAGAATTACAGGCCAATATCCCTCATGAACATAGATGCCAAAATCCTCAACAAAATCTTAGCAAATCGGATCCAGCAGTACATCAGAAAGATCATACACCATGACCAAGTAGGATTTATCCCAGGGATGCAAGGATGGTACAATATCCGCAAATCAATCAACGTGATACATCACATAAACAAATTGAAGGAAAAAAACCACATAGTCATATCAATTGATGCAGAAAAAGCATTTGACAAAATTCAACACCCATTTTTGATAAAAACTCTCAGCAAGGTGGGAATAGAAGGATCATACCTCAACATAATAAAAGCCATATATGACAAACCCACAGCCAACATCATACTCAATGGACAAAAACTAACACCATTTCCCCTAAAAACAGGAACAAGACAGGGATGCCCACTCTCACCACTCCTGTTCGACATAGTACTGGAAGTATTAGCCATTGCAATTAGACAAGAAGAAGAAATAAAAGGCATCCAAATTGGAAAAGAGGAAGTAAAACTGTCCTTATTTGCAGATGACATGATATTATACATACAAAACCCTAGAGACTCCATCAAAAAACTACTAGACTTAATAAATGAATTTGGCAATGTAGCAGGATACAAAATTAACCCCAAGAAATCTGAGGCATTTCTATACACCAATAGTGAACTTTCAGAAAGAGAGATTATAAAAACAATCCCATTTACCATCGCACCAAAAAAATTAAGCTACCTAGGAATAAACTTAACTAAAGAGGTAAAAGACCTCTACTCAGAAAACTACAGGACGTTGAAAAAAGAGATAGAGGAAGACATAAAGAGATGGAAGAACATACCATGTTCTTGGATTGGTAGAATCAACATCATTAAAATGTCCATACTGCCCAAAGCAATCTATAAATTCAACGCACTTCCCATTAAAATACCAACGGCATATTTCACAGACCTAGAACGAACTCTCCAAAAATTCATCTGGAATAAAAAAAGACCCCGAATAGCTGCAGCAATCCTGAGAAAGAACAAAGTAGGTGGGATCTCAATGCCAGATATCAAGCTGTATTACAAAGCCACTGTTCTCAAAACTGCCTGGTACTGGCACAAGAACAGACATATAGATCAATGGAATAGAATAGAGAGCCCAGAAATCAGCCCCAACCAATACGCTCAATTAATATTTGACAAAGGAGGCAAGAACATACAATGGAGTCAAGACAGTCTCTTCAATAAATGGTGCTGGGAAAATTGGACAGATACATGCAAGAAAATGAAACTAGACCACCAACTTACACCATACACAAAAATAAACTCAAAATGGATAAAGGACTTAAATATACGACCGGAAACCATAAAAATACTAGAAGAATCCAAAGGCAACAAAATCTCAGACATATGCCAAAGCAATTTCTTCACTGATACAGCTCCTAGGGCAGTTGAAACTAAAGAGAAAATGAACAAATGGGACTACATCAAAATAAAAAGCTTCTGCACAGCAAAAGAAACCATCAACAAAACAACAAGAAAACCCACTGCGTGGGAAAACATATTTGCCAACGTCATATCTGATAAGGGCCTAATCTCCAAAATTTATAGGGAACTCATACAACTTAACAAAAAGAAGATAAACAATCCAATCAAAAAATGGGCAAAGGACCTAAATAGACACCTTTCAAAAGAGGACATTCAGAAAGCCAAGAGACATATGAAAACATGCTCAAAGTCACTAATCATCCGAGAGATGCAAATCAGGAAAAAAAAATAATTATACTGGCAAAAAAAAAAAAGATATTAATAGTGTGCTATCACCCATCTTCTTGGGTATTATTTGCTTAGAAACTCACTGTCCTTGTTCTATATCAATGCATATTTTTCTTTCAATTGTCTTAAAAATAAAATACAGAATTTAACTGAAAAAAAAATATACAGAAAAACTTCTTAACAGTGAGGGGTAATGAACATTGGGACAATGTTACCAAGGGAGTGTGCAGAATTTCCTTCCCAAGAAACCTTTAAAAATAAGATTTTTTAAAAAATCAGCTGAGAGGTCAGCTGAGAAAATAAAGTCTGATGCCTCCTCCTCAGCTCTTTCTACTCCCCACCTCTCCTTCTTCCCCTCCCTCCCTCCCTCTCTCCCTCTCCCTCCCACTCTTCATTCCCAGCAAGCACTTCCTCCATGACCCCAGTTCCTGTACATCCTGCCTCCTATCAGAAACCTTCCTGGAGCTGATGTTACTCCTATGGGCAGGCTGTCCTTTTAGCTTTCTCTTCCATCTGCATCAATCCACCAAACAGAGAAGTAAACATGAAAGCCACTCTCTTTGACAATAGCCCAATTCTCAGTATTCTGAAAACTGGCCACTTGGTAATTCAGATCCTTTGGACTCAGATGAAATATAACGTCCTTCATGAAGCCCTTCTTGACCTCTTCAGCATGTTGTCCCCACCAAGAATATGGCACTTCTACTTTCCTGTGACTGTGTCTGTCTTCTCGCTAGACTGAGCTTCTTGAGGGCCATTTATTTCTATTATCTTCAAACCCAACTCTGTAAATGATTATTCATGAAAGGAGAGAGAGAGAGAAGAGAGAGAGAGAGAGAGAGAGAGAGAGAGAGAGGTGTGACAAAGGTGTTCACTTCTTTAATAGCAGGAATTCTCAAGTGCTGACTATTTGTCATTGGAAGTCCATTGAACTAACAGTACATCCTCATTCAATAACTACAAATAGAACACTGACTCTTGTTTTTCAGGAAAGAAGGCAGGACCTCCTGGGCCAAATGGCCCCCCAGGACCTCCAGGACCTCCAGGACCCCAGGGACCTCCAGGGATTCCAGGGATTCCTGGAATTCCAGGAACAACTGTTATGGGCCCACCTGGCCCTCCAGGTCCTCCTGGTCCTCAAGGACCTCCTGGCCTCCAAGGGCCTTCTGGTGAGTTCCTGTTTCTCCGCCCTCCCCCAGGTTCCTTTACCAGTACTTTAATAGAGCAGGGGTGGGTGATCCTGAGAGCAGTTTCAAATGCTGCTGGTTGTATGGCTGTGCAATAAAAAATGCAGGTCTCCTAGCTCAGTGTAAAACTAGAGATTAAACAAGCCAGTAGGATCTGACCTGCTCTAACTTCTTGTTTATACCAACCTGTCCAGAAGAAGTCACCTGTTCTTGACCTGTCTTAACCTTTCTATCACAAGTTCTCCCTTACTCTAGGCCTCCCTGTAGTGGGCCAGTAAACTCATATGAGCCTGAGACAGAGGCCCTGAGGGTTCACTGAACTTCCTGTAGGAGATGGATTGGCTCTGCTCTGATTCCCAGCATCTAATTCCTGTGCTGATGTTGATATGGGGAGGAATGTTCAGGACTGGGCAAGATACCAGTCCTACAACAGTCTTATCCCATGAATTCTAAGATGTCCTTCTTAGAGGTAGACAAGCAGTTGCTGAGAGTCAAGGAGTTGAAAACTTAGGAATCACTAAGGGAGAAGCAAACCCAGGCACCAAGACCATCCTGTCGAGGAACCAAGTGCTCCTTGAACTACATCCTTACCCAACCACATTACCCTTTCGAATAACATTTCATCTCTTGCATCTTTCCCTTTGGGCCCAGAAGGGCATCCAAGAGATATAGATGCAGATCCAAAACTACCTAATTGGACTTGACAGGAATCAGACTGCCTGGGGTTGGGCCAGTTGTTATTTTCCTCTCCTGCTCCCTTTCTGTATCCTGAGGCTTTAAAGAAATGGGTTCTTTACAGCTGACTTTTCTAGGTCCACAAATTCTGCAGCAGGACTCAGATTCTTTGATTCATAGTTAAAATAGGGCTAATCAGTGTTACCGTGGCCACAAGAGATGGAGTTGGAGGTGTTTTTTTTTTCATTTAATCTTTCCATGAATATTAATTGAGCACTTTCTATGTGTAAGAGTTGTATTGATAAGTGGTCCTTGTTCTCATGTAGTTTATGTCCTAGAGGAAAAGAGAGATGATTAAAGAAGCAGGATACTTACAAATGGCAATGCACTCTATGAAGAAAATTAATAGAAAGCAAGCAAAAGGCTAAAGACTTGCCTCAGGGTCACACAGTGACAGGAATGCTCTCTCATCTGTCTCCGTGGGTGCTCAGTGGGACTTGCTAGGCCCACTGAAGATGCAGGTCAGGGGCAAGTGACACAAGAAAGGGGTGTCCTCTCCCATTGCAAGACTTGGCTGCAGGGATCACAGCTCCCTGCCACTGGCTCCCTGGATGAGGAGAAAGGGAAGTAGGAAGAGTGAATCTTCTAATTGTCCTGTCCTCTTTCACAGGTTCTTCAGATAAAGCCGGAACTCGAGAGAACCAGGTTGGCTGGGCATTGCTCTCTTCCTGGGGAGGAGGGAAGGCCACAGGACTAGAGCCACCTTTGAGTTTGCCACCTATTAAATTTGCTCAGGCTTTATTTTGTGAGGATACCCTGGAGGTTCTGAGGTTTCTTCCTCAGAGCCACTCCCATCTCTGTGAATACAAAGCTTTGCCCCAGGGTCTGCCTTTAGCTAAGGGAACTGAGTCCTCCCTTGGCCATTTTCCCTATTCCACAGGAGACAGAGGGTTACCATATCCACACACGTTAGTCAGCTAAAATGAGCCACTAGACAGGCCCTATTCACCTTGGCCTCCAACTCCGCTGGCCACCCCAGACACCATGTCAGCGCTCAGACCACCTGGGATCAGGAGCTTAGAAGCAGGGGTCCTCAAACTACAGCCCGCGGGCCACATGCGGCCCACCGAAAACATTTATCCGGCCCGCCGGTGTTTTTGCCACCGCTGTGTGCATAGGAATTTGTTCATAGTTTTTTTTTAAACTATAGTCCGGCCCTCCAACGGTCTGAGGGACAGTGAACTGGCCCCCTGTTTAAAAAGTTTGAGGACCCCTGGAAGAGTATGTCCTTGAAAATCAGCCAACCAGCTCCAGGCCAGCCCCAGCCTTAATGGCCTGAAGGGCTCCTCCCTAGTCTTTGAGCTTCCTAATCTGTCTCTATTGGTAGGTTCTGCTGCCTGGCCTTGTCTCATCTCAGCCTCCCTCACTACAGCTGTTTGGCCACAATTAAACCTACATAGCTGCATAGAGCTTGATGGCTTCCAGGGCAATTTTGTATCCATCACTTCATTTGATCTTCAAACATTCTGTGAGAGAAGCCAGAAATTCTTCTAATTCCCACTTTACAGTAAGAGAAACAAGGCTCGGAGGCATTACATTTGGCTGAGGTCACATAGCTAGGAAGTGGCCAAACTACAAAATCATATTATCCTCTTGTCACACTGTGGTCACTAGCATCCCAAGACAGGGGAGAAGGATCAGAATTGGAATCAGAAAGAAGACTAGAAGTCAGAGGTGGAAACTGGTGGCTGAGTAAGCAATCATTTCTCACAGTGACTCTTCTCTCTATCCTTCTCATCCTCCCAGCCAGCTGTGGTGCATCTGCAGGGCCAAGGGTCAGCAATTCAAGTCAAGAATGGTAAGAGTCAGAGTCAGCTCTGTAGATAAGAGGAGCTGCTCCTCCTCTTTACTCCCCGCTTCCAAATAATCACCCAACCTAGTTCCTCCCAGACCCCTGAGATACCCTGGGCACTAGGGAGCCATTCTCTACTCCATTTTGCCCTCTGCTGACTGTCCTGGGTAATTGCTTGCACCAAGACCAGCTGCAACACCCAAATTGCAATTAGAAACACTGTTGAGGAAGCTGAAAGGGACTTGAGACTTCTCAGTGGTTCTCAACCTTCTGGCCCTTTAAATACAGTTCCTCATGTTGTGACCCAATCATAAAATTATTTTCGTTGCTACTTCATAACTGTAATGTTGCTACTGTTATGAATCGTAATATAAATATCTGATATGCAGGATGGTCTTAGACGACCCCTGTGAAAGGGTCATTCGACCGCCAAAGGGGTCGCGACCCACAGGTTGAGAACCGCTGATTTAGATGGAATGGAATTGTTGGGAGATGGAGGTGCTGTCAGAGTCACCATGAGGATATGTGTAGTTTGATCAACAGTCTCACAATACAAATCAGAGAAGGGAAAAACTACATAACTGCAAATTATTGTCTGGTAGGTCTGAACAGGGAGGTGGGGGGCATGTTAGATTCTCTAGGAAGTATGCCATGCTAGTGTCTATAAAAAGGGAGAACAGGTGTAATGAGGTTAATAAACACCAATTTAATGTAATTCCTGCTTTTAAGAGATGGGGAAACAGAGTCCCAGAGAGATTGGACAATACCATAATAAATCATAACGCCTTATATTTGTATGGTACTTCACAGTTTTCAACATGCTTTCTTTGTCTTTTATTTTATTTAATCTTCACAACAACCCCATAAGGTAGGTATTAGCTCCTTCTTACAGAGCCAGAAACTGAAGCTCAGAGAGGTTAATTAACTCACCCTTCCGTTAAGTGTAGGAGCTTGGATTTAAAACCACATCTAGCTGACTCTTTCCACTGCACTGTGCTACTTCAGTGATGTGTGTGTACACACCACTGAATGATTAGGTTCATTTTCTTCCCCAAAAAGACAGTCAATAAAGAAAAGTGCTTTGAAATAATGCCCAGTCCCCAGGATGCACAGAGCCTAAAATGCATGAACCCCCAGGAACCTTGGGAAGCAGCAAGCCAGCCAAGATGCCAGATGCGTACAGAGCTTGGAGGGGAAGGGAAGGGCTGGGCTGTGAGTATGGACACAGTAAATGAATGTTAAGGAACCTACTACATGAGAACAGCTTTGAAGAGGTCAGTCAGTTCTGACCTGGCTGGGCTCAGCTTTCTTAATGACTGGACTTAGCTACATCTGGGATTGCCATCTGGATGCGTGCCTCAGAAATGTAAGTAGGAGCAGAATGGCATCAGAACCCAAGCAGTCCTGCTGGGACCAGGTGCCTCTGTGTTTATTCTGTGCCAGAAACTACTGATTTTGCTCCCATTAGCACATCACAAGACTAGTCCCAAGCCCTCTAGGTCAGTCTCCAGTAGCAGTCTCTGCTAATCTTCACTTGCACCAGAGGGGCTGGGGGTAGGAGGACATCATGCAGAGTGGATTTGAAGGGGTTGAACCAAGGAATCTCCTCCTAACTCCTATCCCATCATCACCTCAAGGCCAGTTTCCTCATGCCTCAAAGAGGCAGGCATCCTGAGACTAGCCAAGGATGGATGTTCAAAACATAATATCTTGGGTCGAGAACAGATGGTTTTGAGGGGGAAATGCCCCATAGGCTTGGACTCCCTTCTCTTGTCGTGGGAAGGCACACCCCCCCCCCCGGCAGGATGGAAAAGGAAGCTCTTCCTCTACCCTCACATGCTGGTTCTGTGTTGGGCCAAGGCCAAGGCAGTATGGTGGCCCCTCCACCCCGAAGGGGGTGGGGCTGAGAGACAGAAGCTTTGCCAGGGGTGCCTCAGCTCCCAGACACCCTTGCCATCCCCTTGGCTGGTTCTAATGCTGCCTGGCAGTCTTCCCCTCCCTCTCATAAATACCCTTCTCCCCCATGGGCCTTATTACTGGTAGTTACACTCTCTGGCTACCATGAAGTCTGACTCACCCCTGATCCCTAAGGTTCTCCAGGTCAACAATTCTAGGGCTAAGTGGTTTCCTGGGGGCCCAGGGAGGCTTTTCAGAAAGGAGTGGGTGTGGAGGAATCTTATGGAGGAGAAAATCCATGAACCTATGACAGGAAAGAGATTGAGGAATTATGGCTGGTGAAATCAAATGGCATAATAAGACCTAGCCTGCCACTCAGTGTCTGAATTTTGCCTGTGCAGGCCCCAGAACAACAAAGAAAATTGGTCAGTGTGCCCACTCTCTTCTTACTCCCCAACTACAATTCCAACTACAAAGTGTTGGTTAAAGGCCCTTCTGGATGGAGGGGTCAGGGAAAGAGAGGAAGACAGACAGGCAGACCCCAGGGGCCTGAGCTTACAAATGCTCTTCTTAAAGCTTGGCCTCCTGGGCTGCTTGGGTTGCATAGGGATGGGGTGGAGGTTGTGTACAACTTGATAATTCTTGTTTCTATTGCCCAGATTATTCTGACATGTACTGAGTGACTGCCCTTCTCTCATACTGAGATCTTTCAGGTGGAGTGCTCAATGACTGGTCTCGCATCACTATGAACCCCAAGGTGTTTAAGCTACATCCCCGCAGTGGGGAGCTGGAGGTACTGGTGGACGGCACCTACTTCATCTATAGTCAGGTAGAAGTGAGTACGGTCTTAGGCCTAACTCTTCTTATATCCAGAATGCAGATGCCATGCAGGCCATATAGGGGTACTGTGGAGCCAGCCAAGACCAGCCTGCTTTGGTGGATGAGGGGCTAGGGGAACCATACTGGGAGGGAGTTCAAAAGAGGAAAGAGAGAGGGTGATGTTTGGATTTTTTCCTAGCCATATATCATTGAAAAACTGAAAAGAGGTCCCTCTCACACCCTGGCATCAATTC